CAGCTCTGTTGTGTAAAGCAAGCTCAGATCTCACTAGGAAACCTTTGTGAGCTCCCACACAAGGGGACAGATCTATCTCCTTTTCTCCATTAACAATTGTTTATGAAGTTCTGTTGGTTTGAAAGCTTTATAAGTGTGCATGTGACAGTAGTGCGGGGAACATTGTCTGGAATCGATGCTGCTTTTCTTCCTGAGAATTTTGGGAGTTGGGCAATCATCTAATTAAAATATGTTTGCATTCCAAAAGTGTCAAATGTGCAAACTGATTGATCTACAGGTAATTGTAGCCACACAGAAAATTTCTGGGAAGCTATGAAAAAAAATCTACCCCAAGAAGGAGTGAGAAATCAGCAGAGTGTGAGCTTTTAAATTTTTTATAAGAAAGTTTACCATCTTAATATACTACTCTTTATTATTTATTTATTTATTTATTTGGAGACAGGGTTTCTCTGTGTAGTCCTGGCTATCCTGGAACTCCCTCTCTAGACCAGGCTGGCCTCAAACTCACAGAGATCCACTTGCCTCTGCCTTCAAGTGCTGGGCTTAAAGGTGTGCGCCACCACTGCCTGGCTAAAGTCTAAGGACTGTCAGATGTTTGGTAACATTTCAGACCATATGGAATAGATATAAACTAGAAACTAGAACATCACTCACCCAAAGTGATCTCTGTTAACCATTCAGTATATGCACGTCTAGACTCCTCTTTACTATGTATACATGCTGGACTGTGGCTGTAACTCAATGGAAAAGTGCCTGCCTAGCATGTTGAAGGCCTTGCATTAATCTCCAGCACTGCAGGGAACAAAAACATAACATATAACATATAGTTCATATGTGAAATACTCAATTTTTCCATACTAAAATATTCATTGCTTACATTTTTGCCTTTCTTGCAGGATTTTTATACCAATCTTCTAAATAGATTCATTCCCGCGATCGATTTGTCAATTACCACATCTTTTAAAAACTTTTCTATGTATGAGTTTGTCTGCACATCTGTATGTGTGTCATTTGTGTGCCTGATGCCTGTGGAGACTAGAAAAGGGCATCGGTTTCCCTGGCACTGTAGTTCCGAGCCACCATATGGGTGCTAGGAACTGAGCCTGGGTCCTCTATAAGAGCAAGCAGCAAGTGCACTTGACCGCTGAGCCACCTAGTTAGCCGTTAAGAATTATTTCTATTGTGTTTTAAATTAGGAGGATGTGTATCTGTATGTGTCTGTGTGGGGGTATGTGCACATGAGTTCAGATACCTTCGGAGGGCGGAGCTAGAGGCGTCAGATGCTCCTGGGGTGAGTTACAGGGAATTGTGAGCTGCCCAGTAAGGATGTTAGGAAGAGAACTCAGGCCCTCTTCAAGGCAGTAAGTGCTCTGAACTGCCGAGCCATCTCTCCAGCCTCCATTTCCTCAATCTTAATAAGCAATACCCACAAAAGGAAAAAAAAAAATTCACTGATTTTGGATTGAGTTAAATTACTTAGGTTTGGGGGTTTTATATGAATAATCAATTCTATGTTGAGTGGCAGTGAGAACAGGAACAAGAGTAGTTTAGAAAGCTAAGAACAACCACTTTGCGTTCTCCATTCAGGTCTTTGGAAAGACGGAGGAGGAGGGGGAGTGGATGAGGGGGAGGTAGAAGACAGAGGCTAGCTAAATAGAATTTACTAGCTTCTAGACATTTCTCTAAACCTTTCGCATATAATTATTTCATTTAATCTTCACAACAGCTTTATGAGCTTATTACTATCCTCATTTTACAAAAGATAAATGGTAGACACAGAAGTTAAGTAAATCCTCCCCAAGGTTCTGTAAGTAGTATATGGGAATGACTAGATTCAGTGTCTGGTTCTGGAGGCCATGTTTCTGACTATAGCAACATTTAATCTCATATGATTAGTCTATTTGTAGAGAGACTTATGGAAATGGTTTGGCACTTATTGGAAGCATCTTCCTTTGATAGCACAACTATCAGTCATTGAGTTCCAATTGCAGGGAAAGCATTGCCCACTTGGCTAGATACCCACTATGATCACATCAGCTTATCAAAGAGCATCATATATCGCGGCAGCAGTGGCACACGCCTTTAATCCCAGCACTTGGGAGGCAGAGGCAGGCGGATCTCTGTGAGTTCAAGGCCAGCCTGGGCTGCAGAGTGAGTTCCAGGAAAGGCTCCAAAACTATACAGAGAAACTTTGTCTCAAAAAAAAAAAGAGCATCATATCTTTTGAGTAGGAACAAGAGTGGTTTAGAAAGCCAAGAGCAACCACTTCAATTCTCTATTTGGGGTCTTTGGGATTCTGACATTCTACTCAATGCTCAAGAAGATTTTAGAAATAGAGCTGTGCTTCCTTTTGGATTTTCATGGGGAAGGTTTCAGTTTTCTCACAGCTGGACATGTATCTTCACGGTTCTAGCTTCCCCAGATCTCCTGTTTTTGTGGTATTAGAGAGGTACAGGGTAGACCTACCTGATGCAACAGGCTTCTGAGTAAACAATAAATGAAGAAGAACCTTCCCTTTGCATAAGCATTCCCCAGGACTCCCACTTTCCTTGAGAGCTCCCAATTATTAACATTATTATTATTATTAATTTAGTAATCAGTATTAACATAAAGGAGGAAAAGGGAAGGGTCACCTATATCATCTACAATTGAGGTTTAGTTAGACTAGATAAGGTCTAGGTTCCCCTCTAACATACAGTAATATGGATGTTATGGGTCAAAAAATAGGATTTAAAATTTTTTTAACCACTCTGCTGCAATTGCTTAAGTATATACCAAACTGTGAGGGTGAAGCATTGTCATTACTAATGACAAAATCAAGTAACCCTATAATAGCTCAGAGAATTGGGAAACTGAGGCCTGTAGATATCCAGTGATTTCCACAAGCTCCCACAAAGCTGTAGGAAGGATTTCTAATCCTAAGTATCTATTTTGTTACTGTAAACTCATAAGCCTTTATTATTCCCCAAACCTTTATCAAGAGCTTACTATATTTCAGAAAGTGTGTTTAGCTTGTAAGGATACAGCAAAAGAGATGTGGTCCCTTCTGCCTTCATGGATTCTACTACAGTTTTTGGCACATGCAACTGGAGCAAATCATTGGGGAAGACTAATTTCTTGCAGAAGATACACATCAAAGATTAGACTTCAGCTAGAAAGGGCAGTCTTTAGGTATAGTGGCCTAGCACTTGGGAAGCAGAGGCAGGATTTCTGTGAGTTCGAGTACAACTTGGTCTATATTGCAAGTTCCAGGCCAGCTGGGGCTAAGACACAATGAGACCCTGTTTCAAAAAAAAGCAGAGGAGGAGGAAGAGGGTGGGAGGGTGAGGAAGGGAAAGGGAGAGGAAGAGGAGGAAAGGACTTTAATATGTCTCCTAAGATTATATTTTTCCCCAATAATTTCTTTTTCCTTTACTATTTCCTCAGAATGCCATTCCATGTGTTAGGTCTGCCCACACCTTTACATGTGTCCTTCCCATGTCAGTGAATTCTCAGTTTTAGTCATAAGACTTATTCATTTTGGAAAGTTTATTTTGTGTGTTTCTATGATTAAACTTTTGCATTGTACATTCATCCAAAGCATATATGTTTTTGATCTACAATGTGAAGTTTTGACATATGTATATCACTTCATGTAATTACTACGTGTGTGTGTGTGTGTGTGTGTGTGTGTGTGTGTGTGAACTCTTTCAGAAAAATCACAGTGTGAAATAGAATGCCCAGCTGTACATGAGAGCTCCCAATCTTAATCATTTTGTGACAGAAGTTTTGTTCCCTTTGGCAAAAATCCTTCTGTTTCCCTCAACACCTAACCCCTGGAAACCATTGCCCTAGTCTGGTTCTTTGAATCTAATTTATTTATGAGATTCCACTTATAAATGGGGTAATACACTATTTTTATTTCTGAGTCTGGCTCATTTCACTTAGCATAATATCCTTGATATTCATCCATTTTATTGCAATGATACAATTTCCTTCATATAATTGTTGAGTAATACCCCACAGTATATGTATACCATTTTCTTTACCTGTGTACTTATCAGTAGACATTTAGATTTTTTCCATGTATTAGCTGTTCTGTATCTTGCTCCACTGAATGTGGGGGACCTACCCCCACCTTTCCCTGGGTACTCTTGAGGAGAGAGGGATAAGAAAATATTAGGTAGAAAGAGAGACCTAGTTGATGAGAGGAAAGACAGAAACACAGGATAGCTTTGGGAGGACCTGGTTCAATACCCAATGGCCCAGAACTTTATTCAAAAGGGCTTTTTATAGCAATGCCAAGGGGTGAGGCAAAAGACCTCCCCCTTCCTAGATACAGCCAAGTGTAGACCCTTCCAATCACCTGGTAGCCACACCCATGGTCAAATCATCCCCTTATGCAGCCCTGCTGGGTAAAGCAAAATCTGATTCTTTAACCTTGAATAATTTGGGCCTAACAATTGAACAGCACAGCAGGGCAAATATTTCTTTGAGGTATCAATTTCCTCTCCTTTGTATCTGCACCCAATAGTGGAATTGATGGATCATATGGTAGTTCTGTTTTTAATTTTTTTAGTTACTTTCGTACTGTTTTCTACAATGGCAATATCAATTTATATTCCAATTATGTATAAAAGTTCCATTTTCTCTATATCTTTGTTAGACTTTTTTTTAATAAATGGCCACCCTAACAGGTATTAGGCAATATCTTACTGTGGTTATTCTTTGCATGCTAGGCAGGGGTGCTACCCCTGGGCTGTACTACCAGCCCTCACTGTGAATTTCATTTTCATTTCTCTAATAATCTGTGATGTTGAACATCTTCTACTACATCTGTCTTTGTAAAATATGTTTATCTAGCTGCGTGCTGTATGTGTACATAGCTGCGATCATATATAAGTCTACTCTTAATTGATGTGTTCAAGCCGTGACCATCATCTCTGGACCTCTGGTTCTGAATACAGGCTTCACCACAAACATCAACTAATTGCATCTTTGTCTCATTCCTTATTTTACAGCTGTGCTAATAGTTTTTTCCCTGATATCTGTCACCTATGGAGCTACCCTCTGCAATATGTTGGCTATCCAGATCAAGTACGATGACTACAAGATTCGGCTTGGGCCACTGGAAGTACTTTGTATCACCATCTGGAGGACATTGGAGATCACTTCCCGCCTTGTGATTCTGGTGCTCTTCTCAGCCACCTTGAAGTTGAAGGCTGTGCCCTTCTTAGTGCTCAACTTCTTGATCATCCTCTTTGAGCCCTGGGTTAAGTTCTGGAGGAGTGGTGCCCAGATGCCAAACAATATTGAGAAGAATTTTAGCCGGGTTGGCACTTGGTGGTACTGATTTCTGTCACCATCCTCTATGCTGGCATCAACTTCTCTTGCTGGTCTGCCATGCAGTTGAAATTGGCAGACAGAGACCTTGTTGACAAAGGTCAGAACTGGGGACATATGGGACTGCACTATAGTGTGAGATTGGTAGAAAATGTGATCATGGTCTTGGTTTTTAAGTTCCTTGGAGTCAAAGTGTTACTGAACTACTGCCATTCCTTGATTGCTGTGCAGCTTATCATTGCTTATCTGATTTCCATTGGATTCATGCTCCTTTTCTTCCAGTACCTGCACCCACTGCGCTCACTCTTCACTCATAATGTGATAGACTACCTCCATTGTATTTGCTGCCGCAGACACCATCAGGAAAGGGCTGAGACCTCAGAGCCATCAGGTGAGGCTGAAACAAGACAAAGTATTGTCTGATTCTTTTTCTTCTGAACATTATAGGGTGGGTTTGGGGTTGACAAGAGCAACTGTGAAATTGAAGGAGAGGGTGTACTCCCAGGATCATTTTCTCGACTCTTCTAGTAAGCCTATCAAAAGAAAGACTGACCTCCGAATAGGCTTTCCTTCTTTATGATTGACTGCTATGTTTGGGTACCAGCACTAGACACTGTGTATTTAGTTCATCATCCTCCTACCCAAGTCAGTTGGAATAACTTCCAGGTGCCTCACTGAGGCTCTGAATTTCCAGCTTTGCTCAATTGTTTGAATTATTGTTGAGTTTCCCTGGGCTGATTGAACTCTGCCATGGTATATCTGGACTGATCAGAGGATGTGACAGCTTACTAGCAATGAGAACCTCCCAGAAAACAGTCTGACCTTTACCTGAGAGAGTAGATGGGATATTTTCTCTAATGAGAAACTGTGGCTAAGAAGGCCCCATTATTAAAGAAAGCTACTCCCCAGATGAGTTAATACTCCATTAGGATTTTACTAGTGCTCATTCAGCAAAGAATTCTCTTTTTAGAAGCCTTCATAGGCACCCCTTTATAGAAGGGCATGCAGAATAGGATTCCTTCAGGGAATATTCAGAATGGCATATTTTTCAAGGCAGGATCTCATGTATCTCCAGCTGGGCTCAAAGTCACTATATAGCTAAGAACTATGTAGCTTGAACTCCTGATCTTTATTCCTTTACCTTCTGAGTGCTGGGACTGCAGATGTGTGCCACTGCATCTGGTTTCTATGGTGCTGAGGACTGAACCCAGGACTAGGCAAGCACCATTTATGTGGTGCTGAGCACTGGACCCAGGGGCAGATAAGCACTCTACCAACTGAGACATTCCCAGGCCCCAGAATGACTCTTCAGGAACTATGTGAGCCTCCAGCTCCATTGAGGGAAATGTTTAAATGAAATTTCTCACCTGGTATCCCGTTATTAGGAATTCCTTCTGATCCGGCTTTTCTGTCTCTTTGCATTTTATTACTTGATGTAAACAGCAGAGAAACTAAACTGTTACTGGAAGTGTTTATGATATGTGAAAGAAATGAAGATTTCTTTGTGTCTGCTACTGTCCAGAGTATTTTATTGATTTTCATTTCAGGGGATAAAGTAATAATGGCTAAGACAGCACCTTCAGGTTGCTTTGTATTGGGCTGGGTGACTCCTCAGCAAAGGAAAGGAGGAAGAGAGAAACTGACCGCATGAGATTATCAACACTGCTTTCTCCCTGAAGGATTTTACTTGCTAATGAGGAATGTAGAATTCCTTCAATCTTTTTGTCATTAACAAACCCCAATGGCCAAATAAATATACATGTATTCTCATGTATCATCATGCTCATATCTCATACCAGTTGGATACTTTGGTGGGCTTGTCAGCTGGATGCCTAGAAGGTTACCAAACAATTGATGTTGTTCTGGCCACTGCCTACTAGAAAACCAATTATCCCAGCATTATCTAACAAATTATTGTCCCTCACAGACCAGGAAAGTGAGATGAACTCTTAAAAGTACATCCGAGCTGAGGAGCTATTGGCAATTGGTGGCTGCTTGGAGAGGGAGAGTCAGTTTTCTTTTGGATGCAGCTGTGAGAGGCTTCTAATACTCCAGGAGATGTTCCTCCACCCATTCACAGATTGGACTCAGTGGGTTCTAAGGAAAAAAGAGAAGGCACATGGATTTGGAAGGGAATAGTGATGGGGGGTTGTAGGGGAAGAATTGGAATGGAGGAGATGACAGATGGCTTAGATTGATAATTTACTTCTAAAAGCATTAAAGATGAACAAAAAATGTAAAACCAGACTAGCTGTGGTTGTCATGTTTCAAGAACTTGTAAAGATTCTGATGTGAGGTCTTCCACCACCATCCAGTTTTACTCTTATGTTGGGGGGGGGGCTCCCTCTTCTAAGTAGTGAGCTGTTAGCCAGTTATCCTATTTCCTCACATGTCTAGTGTGGTTTTACCAACTTCAACTGCCTTGGGGAACTAAAAAGATTGGCAATTTAGTTTAAGAATGTAATAATTCAGAGACAGCAGATTTCTTTATACAGCCTCAACTCCTTCATACCATTTTATCATGACAGAGTCTCTGGTTGTCATATGAGACTGACATGGACTTCTGACAGCTATTTATGGAGAATGTGAAGGATATTATCAAATTCCAAAGGAGCACTGCCTCTTCAGATCCCAAGCAAGAATTTCTGCCTAGTGATTACTGTGCCCTCAGTTAAAAGCAGGAATGGTATTTGGAATAATAATTTGGTACATAAGAGCATGTGAACCAGCTACTTAAGAGGAAAAACTATGGGAACAGAGAGAGACAGAGGGTAGAAATGAGTGCCTCAATGTCAAATTAGGCAAACATTTTCCCCATGTGTCCTTCCAGCTATGGTGACTTAATATCCTAGGAATGAAGAAAGTTTAGGGACAGGGGTGTGGAGTAACTTCTAACCTGAAAAACCTGCTGCCCTCACTCAGAGAAGGGAGAAGAGTCGCAATTGATGCATTATGCAAATGAGCCCTTAGATACTCCTCTCTGGTAGTCCTTCTGTTACATAGCTATCTTCCGGACACACAGAGAGAAAGTATGGAATATGAGAGGGTGGGCAGGGGAAATACCCACTTCTGTTTGCAAACACATCTGTAAATACTCTCTTCACCATATAAAGTTCTTGTTTCAGTACTGAAGCTTGCACTCAATACTTGCACCTGCTAGGCATGTGCCACACCACTAAGCTATATACCAATTCCTTTTTTTTTTTTCCTGAAATAGGGTCTTGGTAAGTTGCCCAGGCTGGTCTTGAACTCACTGTGTAGCCTAGGTAGACCTTGAATGTGCATTTCTCCTGTCTCAGCTGCCCTAGTAGCTTGAGTTAACAGACCTGCACTACCAGGCCCAAATATATCCTCTGAAATTTTAAAGTGACACAGGGGATATAGTATATGGACAAACCTTGCTGAGTGAAAGAGAAGACACAGATTAGACTAGCAAAGGGTTTCTGGGAAAGGAAAAGGTTTGGATAAAAGAACTACTAAAGCAAGAGTTTCTTCCTAGTAGTCAACATGGTCTCAACAACTATTCTCATACTACTGATAATTTTGACGGCTAAGTATGGACAAGTCAGCATAAAGGAAGGTCTAGTAAATAAATGATAGTTGTTATTTTCACTTGTTCCACAAGTATTTTAAAGACTATGGACACAGAACTGTGAGGTACTGTGAAAAAATTGAAATAATAGCTTATATTTATGAACACAGCTTGTATACTATAGTACCATGTACTTTAGTTAGAGATAGGGTCTCACTTTGTATCCATGGATGGTCTGGAATTCACTATGTAGACCAATCTGGCCTAGAACTTACAGAGATTCACCTACCTCTGCCTCCCTACTTGAGTTAAAGGTGTGTACCTATGAGATTTATATATACATTCTACTTATGTTTATATGTTCAGTCCTCAATATGGTAAAGTATTTGCTATTATACCAAGCCTACTTTACAAGTAGAGTTTAAGGCATAGCAAGGTTAAATGATTCACTCAAGGTTGAAGCCAGTATCAAAGCCAGGGTTCAATCAAGACTTAAGCGTCTATGTCCCAAGTGTTTGTGAAATTCTCTTAGTAGTTTCAGGATTCCTTTCTAAGATATAGCTAGGTTCATGCCAAACATTCTTTTTCTGCAAACATGTCTTATCTCTTTCCATCTACAAAGAGAAGTCCTAAAGAACCTTAGATGAAAACTGAGTGTGTGTTCACAGGCATCCAGAGTTTGGTACAAAGGTGTGGGAGGATGGCTGGAAGTCCCTTTCTAGTTTCTAATCTTTGTCTCACTTAAGGGTTTTCTTTGTTTGTTTTGATTTTTTATATGGGTTCTTGCTCTGTATCCCAAGTTGGCCTCTACCTCACTATGTAGCCCAGGCTAATCTGAATCGCCCAATCAGCCTGCCAATCTCTCACAAGCACTGAGATTATAGGCATCATGATAATCGGGGAGGCTATGAAGGTGTGGGAGCAAGGAGTGTGCTGAGACTCTCTTATGTATTATGTATGAGTATGCACACGTGCCACAGTGCATCTATGGAGGTCAGGGGATAAATGTGGGAATTCAGTTCTTTCCTTTCACCATGGCACCATGGGTTCCAGAAATAAAACTTGGCTCATCAGGCTTGTACAACATAAGATTTTATCTGTTGAACCATTTCCCTGGCCCAATGCTATAACTCTTTGTACTGTTGTCTTAATTTTTTTGTGAACCTAAAAATAAAAAAAAAACCACTTCAAAAAATAAAGTCCTTCCTGGATCACAATATTGAGAGCAACAGTTAGCTGTGATAATATGACAATTGAATTAACACATCAGCCTTGTCTCTAAAATGATCACTTTAAATGTGTCGTTAGAAAATTAATTCTATATATTGAACTTTATGCTAAATAATTCTAAAAGGTGCCATGCTTTGTGGTTCTTAGCACGTAAAGATTGGAGTCTAACTTAGCACCATTATTTGAGCTGACTTTGCCATCCTGCTGGGTTTTTCTTTCAAGTAAGTTAAAGAAAACTTTGCACATATTATTCTTAACGAAACTTTTCCTTCTTTCTCACACTCCTTTGTTCCTCTTTCCTCACTCTCTTGTTCTGCATTCTGAGAATCACACTTGCACAATGGTTCCATTTTGTAAACAACGACAAAATGTGGGTGGAACGAGTTGTCACAAACTCTTTTCATCAATTCTAGTTTGGAGAAAGAGGAGATGATTGGAGATTTCCCCTTTTATTAACTAGTTTGGAATATTTGTGTTTTATAATACCTCCCATGATATTTATAACTAGAAGAGCATAGTACTTAAAAAGTAAAAACATATGAAACTTGATTCATACACAGCCTGCTTTCACAATAGCTTTAAGGTTCGGATGAAGAGAGGCATATGCTTCATAGAATGAACTAGAAATATAAGGCAAATTATGATAGGCACCTTTGAAGGAAAAGGGCTGTCATCTGTTGATTCTTTACTAGATACCAACATCCATGTTGGATCATTTATAGTCTCCCATTTTATTATCACAATGGTCTTAGGAGGCAGATGTTCTCTATCACTGTTTTTAGATAAAGACACTGAAGCCAAGAATGACTTCTCCAAGGGTACACAGTTTCCACTTCAATCTTTTTGACCCCAAGATTCAAGTTCTTCCTGATCCACCACACTGCCTCTCATAGATGGCAATTGTCATGATGTGGACTTTGTAGCACTGAGGCAGTGAGTATTTTATACTCATCTTTTGTCTTTAAATGGGGAGAGCCCATCCTACCACATAGAAAAGGACAAAGGGTCTTTTTAATAATTACATGTAGGGGCCCTAATCTGGATTGAATTTACTCCAGCTATCTTGGTTGTAGTTGCCATCTTACTCAGAAGATGACCCTGGTGTGAAATGAAATCCCTATACAATGAACAAAATCAATTAAAATAGAGTATGTCTTGCCCTCCAATGAACTGTTCCTTAATGGATGCTTGGAATGCTTACAGTTTCTGAGAAAGCTCAGCATACTTGTCAGTTGCCTATGGTCCACTGTAGGGATCAAGTGAAGTCCTTAGTGTATGTGTGCTATTGACATGGGCACGGTCATGTCAAGACCCCCAAAGCCTCAACCCCATGGAAATGGCAAATCATTCCCTGGGTGAGGCTCAGAAGAATGGCAAAGCCTTCCTCTGCTCTGTGTGCAGATGTTGATACCATGTGCAAAAAATGTCCACCATAGCTTTCTCCCTCCAGATGTTTATGGCCCAAAGACAGCTCCCCAACAGGGACTGCTCCTACTGAGATTAGCTAATGTTGCCCCCTTTGCCTCATCTGTATACGATAAGCCCTGCCTTCTTGATTCAGCTGTGTGCATAACCCTGCTTTTCTGTTCAACTGTATATAACAAATATGCTGAGCTTCTAGGTGAGAGGGATTGTGGCTTCTCCCTCAGAAATCCCAGTCCACCCTATCCCATCCTTTCTTTGTCTGTGTGTCTGTCTTTTATCTATTATCTTGCCATCCCAGTCAGGTCAACCCCCGGAGCCATGCTGGAC